GTATATCTTGTACTTGCGCTCTGGAACGGGCGGATTTTTACCATATATTTCGCAAATCCCTGTTTTTGGGCACCGATGGCCTGGGGCAGGTGCGGATACCTTGCCATAATAAATACTCGTCTTAGACAAGAGGTTCTCGTAATGGGCTAACGTTTGCGGACATGACTGCTATCGCACACCACCCTGATCCGAGCAGAAGGGCCAAAATTTGGCGGTATGCAGTAGCGGTCGTGTTCACAGACTTCAACCCACTACGAGTGCTCGTAGAAGGCAGGAAGTGCCGTGAAAATACTAGCGATTCGCCATCATTGGGAGGCCTCTAATGTCGGGATTCAGAGGCAAAAGTTCTTGAGAGGGGCTAGCGATTCCCTCACACAGTATAGCCTGAGCCCTTTGGATATGTTGTCTCTCATTTCCACGACTGGCTCACCCGGTTCAGCAAACTTGCCAAACGAAACTTACTTGGCCGTTTGTTAAGTGTTCGAAAGCTTGTCGCCAAAGCACATATTAATAATGCCAGGTGTCCGAATATTTTACTACTACTAGCACTCGAGTATCATGGGCGATGAGGCGATTTCCACTGAGAATCCGCTACCAAACCGCATTTTTGCCATGTCCGAAAACAGGGGTCGTGAGTTTGATGGTCGCTCATATAGGCACGGAATTTTTTGATATGTAGCCGTATTTTGCGAATCCTTGTTTCGGGTGCCCGCCAAAATCAAAAGTCTATCTCCGAGATAGCCGCCAGTGGCAAGCAGCATCTCCCCTCCTCTTGGAACCCTGAGGATGGAATTACCCGTCGTAGGCAAGAAATATACTCGAGTACCGGTATGGGAGCTCAGATATGCACGGCCTTTTTGCCATATACCGGTATTTTGTGAATCCCTGTTTTCGGGTACTCTTTGCCTGCTATGAGTAGGGTACCGACACTCGAGTACCGGTAGGTTGATAGCTATCGCTCATAAATCAAATATTCGTATGAACCAGTGTCCCTGGTAATGTTGAGGGGTTATGAGAAGTAAGTGCGATTCTTGCAAGAAAGGTGGGGTGGAGAGGTTTTTTTAAACCTTGGTCAAGGGCCGGGGGATAGGCTTTCGATTTTGGAGAGTGCTGATACTGTAAAGTACTCGTGGCATGCGGGGAGTACCCTGTCCGATGACAGGAGTGGTGAGTTGTATGAGCGTTTAGATGCGCACAAGCTTTTCGCAATATATATTTTGCGAATCCCTGTTACCGCGTACCGGTACTTCTTGCCTGCTCCCAATGCTTCTTGCCCGCTTCGAGTGCCCGAACGCAGAGATGAGAGGCGCTAATGGGGAATCCTCCATGCCCCTCTGTGCGCGGGAAACAGAATTATGCTCGTCCCAAGCAAGAAGTACTCGGGTAGTATACTCGAGTAGTATGTACTGTCTTGCTACGGGTTGCACGGGTGGCACTTTCTAGATGTCCTGCGGGATAGGCAGAGGTGTGGAGTTGGTTTGCCTCTGGGACCTACGTAATGCCGCAGAGTCGTACGGTGTGCCGATTCAGTGGTACTCCTGTGGTTCCGAAAATATTTGTATCTATTGTACTAATTGTTGTGATAACGAAGTAATAATGATAACCACAATAAAATCTGAAGACTTAAAGATTAATCTAAGCTTGCGCTCTCTCTCTAAGAACAGGGCTGAACATGCCCTTTATATACCCCTTTATTGTTACACGAGTACTGCCTCATACCAAGGAAATCTCTAG